CATTTCTGCTTTATGTATTTTGAGCCTATTTTTGTCTGACATGTATTGCTGATTAATCCTATTCCCTGCATTTAGTTGCACTCTTAGCGTGCTTCTTCTCCATGTGTTGGAATACCGTTTCATTTTATTCGGATATTCATTCAGCCTGACTGATCAATACTTATTGGTCATATTAGTATTATGATCTTTCCTTCTGCCCCGTTTGACTTCCCAATTTTTATGGCGGTTGCAGGAACAATCATGACGGCCTTTTCTATGGGCTATTTTTAGGGTCTTTTTTACCTCTTTTTATCTCCTGTTTGTTTTATACATACTTATCATGAGTATTTGTAATGTATATAATTATTACATTTACTCTGGTTTGATTGGGTAGTGTATCACTAATTTTGTTATTCACTGCCCAGATCTTATACCTTGTTTTTATCTCCATTGCTTTTATATAAGTCTTTGTATGATTTCATTTATTATATTTATTATGTTGTTCTTCATCTTGCCGTGGTCCGTTATTGCAATCTTATGCCAATCACTGAAGGGGATTTTTGTACCCCATACATCATGCGCACAGGTACTGCTATTTTAGTGTCACTGTCACTGTATTAAGGGTAATAATATTTGACATAGAGTCCCTGGGGTCTGCGGCATAACTAACAAACGGCACTGGGATCCTGTGTTATGAGACTTCTGTGTCTCCCCCCTTGCTTTCTGTACGATCGCGGATCCACGGCAAAATGGCGCTGCCGTGCTCGCGCATGCGCAGTACATGCTTTCTCCGGGAAAATGGCCGCGGCTAACTGCGCATGTGCCGTTTTTCCTATTTTAACATTGACGTCGGTCACGCTCCTGTACAGCCTCCCCTCTGATGATGTGCCTGTAGCACGAAAGGCCTTAGGAGGAGCTGTGCAGAGCGTGACGTCATTCCACCGCCGGAGCCACGAGGAGGCCCGGCGGTCAACACTATCAAGGGTCAGTACTGCTGCATATCTATGTCATTATAATATGATTTACATGCATACTGCCCTGTTACTGCCCCTGTTACCTTTTTCAATAAAGCACTGATTTTTGGACATACTACACTATTTCTGGCATCTGTCTCTGGGGCTCCTATTGGAGCTTTCATTCCCACAGTGAAAACACTTTTGCCATCCTGAGAGGAGATTCCTTTACAACACCTGGCTGACCTTAAGGGGACCCCTGGACCTTATCAAAGAGTCTGTGATGACCCACCATGAGGGAGATGCCTGGCTGCCTAACCTTTGATGTTCCCATTGCCTGTGATGCATAATCACACATGCGCATATCCTATGCGTTTCCGGTGAGTGCGCATTTCTACTATTTTGACAGAGTGGAGGCCGTGGGAATTCGCATCCATGCAGTGATTTACTGCGGATACCTACACATTGACTTTTTTACTTGGTTAAGCACTCACTGTGGTTACCTACTTATTGTCTTCCTCACCTGGTTAAGCGCTGCACTTTTATTGTTTTAAGCACACATGCATTACCTGTGCCATACAATATAAAATCAAACTAAAAACACACTTATAAAAAGTACTCAAAGCATGCATAAATTCCACCACGTGTCCTTCCACATGTGATATCTGTAATTCCTACTCTTACCCTCTAAATATGAATAACTTGCTCAAATGTATTCCCAACTTGTGCGTTCTTGCTTCCAAATCACTCCTTCTGAATAATCGTTCCTTCTAGAATTTAAATTCCATATAGTGTAGTAGTATCAACAATTATTATCGTGCCACTCAGTGCTCCCGTGCTGACAAACCAATGACCACCAATGCGTGAGACATTAAGAAAATCCACCACCTTCCAAACCATGCACCTTACTAGATAGTAAAGCAAACACAGCTTTTCACAAATAGACTGCTCCGTAGCCAATATCGCTCTTGTTGTTCCATCACAATGCCCATCTGTATAGATCAAAACAGAACAGACTCCAAGATGGGGATTTGGGCTTGTGTAAGGGTGGGATGAGAGTATAAAGCTGGCCGCTCGTCTGACAGACACATCCTTTGACAAAGTCATAATAATGAAACGTGACAGGAAGTGACATCAGAACGAACCAGAAGTTGCGCAGTGGCCATTCTGGATGAGGCCTGGTCCACATTGTTTGAAATAATGCTGATGTACATCACAACCATGTAAGCACTTTTCATCAAAGAAATTAGAAGGTTTTTTTTTACATATTACGTGATGGTGTCTATTCTGTTTTGATCTATACATATGGGCATTGTGATGGAACAACAAGAGCGATATTAGCTACGGAGCAGTCTATTTGTGAAAAGCTGTGTTTGCTTTACTATTTAGTAAGGTGCATGGTTTGGAAGGTGGTGGATTTTCTTATTGTCTCATGCATTGGTGGTCATTGGTTTGTTATCACGGGAGCACTGAGTGGCACGATAATAATTGTTGATACTACTACATTATTTGAAATTTAAATTCTGGAAGGAACGATTATTCAGGAGTGATTTGGAAGAAAGAATGCACAAGTTGGGAATACATTTGAGCAAGTTATTCATATTTAGAGGGTAAGAGTAGGAATTACGGATATCACATGTGGAAGGACACGTGGTGGAATTTTTGCATGCTTTGAGCACTTTTTGTGAGTGTGTTTGATTTATATGGTATGGCATAGGTAAGGCACTATGTGCGCTCTCTATGTGATATTTTTTTGAGAGTTAAAAGAAGAAGAGGGTGTCACTTTATTAAGAATTTAAAGAATCCTGAAAAATTGTAAAGACACTGAAGGATACACATTGATGGAGTTGAAATATTTAGCTTTGCATGGTAACCAATCAGCTTCTAACTTTGGCATGTTCAATTAAGCTTTGACAAAAAAAGCTTGAAGCTGATTGGTTTCTATGCACAGCTGCAACAGATGTTGCATTCTCCTGTTTTTGTAAATCAACCCCATACTTTTACCCTGTCTCCTTTGCTACAAAAAGGGTACTACACATGCATTCCAGCACCCCTCAAATGTAAAAGACATTATACAGTTATAAAACAGGCTTTTTCATGTATCCTGTGTCCTGTGCTGGCAGAAAATTAAAGGCATTCTCTGTAACGCCCTACTTTGTAGAAATGCATAAGAGAAGCAAAATAATTATTTTGATCTGATTGCACAACTGTGTGGCAGTTTCTTTTCTTTATTATTGTAAATTTGATTTGACATTGACAGCACAGCAAAAAGTATGCACATAGAACTCACCTGTAGTATATTCCATTATATTCCTTGGAACACAATTGTTTCAATTCTGCAATATTTGAACCAAATAGCATCTGAAAATTCTGGAATTCAGTCATAGTGTAAACTAAGAAACCCCTGTAATTAGTATACATTGGGGGGAGATTTATTAAATCTTGTGCACTCAGAATCTGGTCCACCGTTGCATAGAAACCAATTCGCTTCTAACTTCAGCTTGTTCAATTAGGCTTTGACAATAAAACATAGAAACTGACTGGTTACTATTTAGAGCTGCACCAGATTCTGTGTACACCAATTTTAGAAATTCCCCCCCATAATTCCACTATGCAACTATATTTTAAACTATGTGAACTGAAATGTGCAAGATGTAGTGGTTGCATTAATTTTATTATGGAAGAATTTTTCGTCATCAGGCTGAACTTCGCCATATTAATGATGGGATAAAAAATCTTGTCCTTTGCATTAGTAATTTTCAAAGGAGAGACTGTTTCATGTACACGTATCTGATGGCAGCTCATGGTTGTCACTCAGGTCTTTTTCTGTATTAATTTCCATAAAAAAGTTGTCCGACTGAATTAGTAATTTTCAAAGGAGAGAGAACACTGTTTACCCCCGACTGTACACATATATGAGGCAGCTTCATGGAAGTGGGTCTTTTTCTGTGGGGCTGCAGCATGCGTATCTCTGCGCCGCAGAGTCCTCACCACTGAGACTAGGCTCCCACACAAGAGCCCTGGTTCTCGTACTAATGATCAGGACCCAGGACTTCTCCCAGTTCGGGTCACCTGATCGCTGATTAGCCTCTGATTGACTGTGTTTATGTCCTCTTCTGAATGGAGAGGAAGATACAATGTATCTTCCTCTCCTTGCAGAAGATGAAGCTGTAAGTAAAAAAAAGTGTGTAAAAAAGTAAAATAAAAAAAAAATAAAAATAAAATAAAGAATGAAAAATAATAACAAGTTTGAAGTTTGCCAGGCTTAGTGATAGAGTCAAGGTCGCTATCAAAGGTAAAGGCCAGGTAAAAGGTCATGGTCAGCATATTCTGAGTAGAATTAAAAAAAAAAAAAAAAAATTGGTATCAGTGTCAGTGTTTATTAGGCAGAATAAAAATGCAAAATGTGCACTATTGTCTCTGGGCCCTACTACAGGTACAAACAACAACTAACATACACATATGTGGTATTGCTGTGGTCGTCAGGAGCAGGAGAAATAATTTGGGTTGTTCTTTGGTGGTAAATTATGATAATAGCAAAAAATATACTGCTAAATTACTATTTTGGGTCACTTTTCCTCTGATAATAAAAAAAGGAGATATCAATTACCATTTACCACAAAATGAAAGCCCAATTTGTTCTAAATAAAAACAAGGTATAATCCACCAGGAAACACAAAGTAGTTGTGATGATATGTACAGTATTACTAACACATGTCAGAGTTGCAAAATTGTGTTTAGGCATTAACATTTGTTTTACCCTTAGGCAGGAAGGGGTTAAATTGTATTATCTGCTCACTGAAAGTGACAAGGACATAGCATTTTTTGAAAGATCTCCAGGTATTTTCTGTACTTGCTAAAAATTTTCTTAGGCTGAAAAGGGAAATTAATGCAACCATGTTTTTTTTTTTTTGTTTAGATTTTAGCTTTAAAATGACTTAGCAAACAATGCATTTTTATACTTGGCTCTATTTTTGGCCTAAATTTTATTCTGTGCCACTTGCTTACAGCTATGTCTAATATACTTGCTTACAGCTATGTCTAATATGGCCACTAAAGTTTTCTTACCTGTATCTGCACATCCTTAGAGTTAATGACTTCTACAATGCCGACAACATCATCAAACACTAGGCCAAGTTTTGTGCAATTGTCTGTAAATAGTACCTCAGAAAATAAAAACTAAAATGTTCACTGACACTATATAGGAAATCATTTTATTTAAAATATATTTATGAATAATGAAAGAAAAATTAGTGTAGAAACATCATTGGAGCAGGACTAATCTTACCTGCTTAGTTGTTTCATAACAGAAAAATAAAGTTGGAAATGTTCAATAAACGTTATTACCGGTAAATCCTTAATCAAACATATCAATATGGTTCTCTGCAGTGTCTTTGTTCACATTCTACCTACTACCACATGTGCAGCGTATGTTACATTCAAGGTATGCTTCTGGTAATAACTGTTACAGTTGCTAGTGTGCTAGTGAAGCTCTCAAGTCAACTTTCAATCCCTCCAATGGCTGTTGTCATAGCTGATCACATTTGCAGGACCATGGAAACTCCAAATCTAAATAGAGACTATTAAGATGGAGCCATCTTTGGCTGCAAAAGGATAGGGGGATAGTTCTGATTTAATGTATTTAGTAAATTGAAGAGCTAACATTCCTGAGGACAGGGATAAAAAAGAAGTACTTTTTTTAGTGTTTCTGGGGCCATTATAGAACTGAGAACCAATCGATGTTACTTCTGGCAGCATTTCTTGCCCTTAAAGCAGAACCACAGTCTGCAGAATGCTCAGCTCCATTCCAGCGATGCCAGCTGACAACATCTTCTCCTCTGGCTTCTTTGGACCTCTTGATTGAAGGGCAGAGATGATGTGACTCTTGCGCATGCACAAATAAGTCTTTCATCCTGGAACATTTCCATTGTGCTGAGCTGCGCATGTGCAGCTTAAGTTGGCCATAGAAGGAGCAAATTTATTTCCTGCAATTAAAGAAATTCGCTGGACTCTCTGCCCATCAACACAGTCAGCATTGATGGGGGAATCCCTCCCATGAAGCCATTGTGTTCTCACAGGAGGGGGGGAAAGGCGGGGGGGGGGGGGGGGTAGACCATGTCTGCCATGAGAACACAGTGATAATTGCTAGCTGCTATAATAGCCTCTAGCAATAATTGCATGTAAAATCCGGCAGGCTGGTTGATCAATCAATCAACTTGGGTACATTCAGCCTGCCCATACATGGTTCAAATTTCGTCTGATACAGAACCGGCCGAAATCCCAACCGTCTATGACCGGCTTTGGTGTGCATTTAATAATAGACTGCCAGGTCAGGTATATTTATTTTAATGCAGATGATACATGCTTCTGCAATAAAAAGCTGCCTATTCTACACATGATTTTTTTTTTTTACTGAAGGTTTATTTCCACTTCAAGATAATATCTGAAATTCATATGGATGCTAAATATTCATCCATTGAAATGTTTGAATGTGTTTCCCTTTGTGGTGTATTGGGAAGCTTTCCAACCTTTTTGTTTTAGTTTTGAACAGAGTAGAAAAGAGTTATAACCTCTGTCAGTATCATTGCCATCTCGGTACCCCTTGAACAGATACTCCGTCACTTTTTTGTCTTGGAAGCATGACATAATATTGGAGGAAATCTTTGATCAATGAAGGGAAATCAGCTGTCAGGAAACCGATGTCCTCATTTGGAGATTTCCCCCAACCTCTTGTTTCAGGAACAATTATTACATTTAAAATTTGGAATTCCCTTTACTTTCTGTCATGGGATTAGTGGTGCATGGGACAGGAGATGAGGGGAAAGCTTCCAACCAAAACACAGACAGGAATAGAAAAAAAAAAAGACTGCGGTTTTAATCCTTACCCAAGTTATTGGAAACAACAATAACAACTACAAAAATGATTGGTAGGACTTCAACATGAAACACATTAAATAATTTTAGTGGGTGGATGACACTTTCATATACTGTATAGAAGACATCCATTAAATTTGCACCAGTGCTAAAAAACAACAACATAGAATGTATGGTAGTTGAGCAAGCGCTCTATTAACAGATAGCAGCTAGAACACAAAAGGAAATCACAACAACCTTAAGATGCAAATGGATAAGTAAAGTGCAGCGTTAAAATTATATGAATAATAAAAAAACTAAGATAAATGAAATAATAATAAATATAATAAAAGTTAGTTCAAAATATATATATAATCGTCCTCTTGACTGAATGTAGTATATGGCACCAATAATAATTTCCACAACAGCAGATAATTCCAAAGCCAGTGACAGGAAATAAATGGCAAAAATGCGCACTCACCCGCTGCACATAGGAAATGCGCATATATATATATCCACCAGATGGGTGTGAACAGCAAGCAGATGGTGGGCTTCCTTCAGGAGAAAAAGGTCATCAGGCTTGGGTGTAGAGATAATCTGCTGGGTCCAGAGGTCTCCTTTAGGATGTGTGGGTATTCAGCCAGGATACAGGGCTCCCTCCTCTGGATAATGGATGGTATAGGGAATTGCTCTGTGGGTTTAACAGCTCCTCTCAGCGCGTATTCCTCAGGGGTTGGTTCAGCTTTTCACCATCGATCATCCAGCTCCGGCTCCCAGATCTCCTGCACACTGCTCCGATCTCTCTTCTCTGCTCTCCAGACTGACCGGACCTGCCCCCTCCAAACGTCCTAAAGGAGACCTCTGGACCCAGCAGATTATCACTGCACCCAAGCCTGATGACCTTTTTATTGCCATTTATTTCCTGTCACTGGCTTTGGAGATATCTGCTGTGTTGTGGAAATTATTATTGGTGCCATATACTACATTCAGTCAAGAGGACGATTAATATATATATTTTGAACGAACTTTATTATATTTTATTATTTTTCATTTATCTTAGTTTTTATTATTCAGATCATTTTAGCGCTGCACTTTACTTATCCAACAACATAGAATGGCCTTACCAGTTCCATTATATATTTTTTTTAACAATCTAGCTGTGCAATAATGTATTTTACTATGTTTTTGGAAACTTTTACTTTAGTAAAACCTAGTGAGCATAAAAAAACATGGAAATCTAAACATCTGGATTAGTATATCTATAACTGGCCAATTGTAATTTCAGATAAGTAGCACTAATAAGAAATAGCAAATAACTGATTGGCGTAACTAATTTTCACTATGATTGAGTTTTCTTACCTATTATTATGGAATTGATTTTTCCCTTGATTTGTAATGTTGCTTTCTTGCACTTGTAAATGTAAACCACTTGTTTCAGCTCGGTGTCAGAAATCACTAAGTTGTTCACTCCTTCTTGATACTCCTAAAATTAGAATGATATCACTAATGAGAACACAGCTGAACAGAAACACATGTAAGTAAAGTCCTCTCTAATCTAGGAAAAAAAAACTTTACCAAATAAGGTCTTGTACATTATCTGCACCTGTAGCACTTAAAGCTAAGAGATTAGAGTCATTCCCTAATAACCCCATACTGCATCTCACACTTGACTTGTGTCAGAAACAATATGATTGCACTAACCCTAATGTAGGCTTTCAGGGAGTTATCTTTTCCTATAGCCAGTTAACTCCAACATGTCATTCATTTCATAGGAGGATGCTCGGTTTTGTTTAAAAAGATTACTTTTAGTACTTTTTTGCCTTTTCAAGTTTAGTTGAAAACTTCTAATGAGAACTGGTTATCATTTTATGCTGAATTGTAACAAACCAAGTTATCCAAAAAAATAAAAGAAAACTCCTTTACTGTCTACCACACACCAAATACCAGACTCCCAGAGATATCCCAGGGACTAATGCAGGCCATAGATGGGTCGAAAATCAGCCGATTTTTCGGCCGAAAATAAAATCGGCCGATTTTCGGATCGTTAGTGGGTTATTTGTTCATCCATTTTTCGGTATTTTGGCAGATTTTTTTTATCGGTAAAGTTGGAAAAAGATTGTCCGATTTTGCCGATCGGCCAATTTTCGCAGCAATTATGGGCAAATCGGCCGATCTTTTTACCGATAAAAAATCTGCGCATGAGCAGTGACCTGCAAGAGGACGACAAAAAGAAAAAGAAAAAGAAGAAGAGGATGAAGAAGAGGATGAAGAAGAAGAAGAGGATGAAGAAGAGGATGAAGAAGAAGAGGATGAAGAAGAAGAGGAAGAAGAAGAGGATGAAGAAGAAGAAGAGGAAGAAGAAGAGGATGAAGAAGAGGAAGAAGAGGAAGAGAAAGAAGAGGATGAAGAAGAAGAGGAAAAAGAAGAAGAGGATGAAGAAGATGAAGAAGAAGAGGATGAGGAAGAAGAAGAGGAAGAAGAAGAAAAGGATGAAGAAGAAGAAGATTCCAGTCCGGCAAAAAGTGTCCCTGCAGAGAGCTCCCGCTATTTCTTTGACAGTTCTTTGACATTTATAGCGGTTGCAACAATGTATCTATTTGTTTCTGAATAAAAACATCTGTATCCGAAATGGATACAAATAGATACATTGTTGCAGCCGCTATAAATGTCAAAGAACTGTCAAAGAAATAGCGGAGCTCTCTGCAGGGACACTTTTTGCCGGCTGTAGACGGGATGAAAATCGGCCGATTTTTTTACCATTCCTGGTAACGTCGGCTGCTTGAACGACCGATTTTTTGTTTTTTTAAAGAAAAATCGGCCAGTTTTCTCCCCATCAATGGCCTGCATTAGGCTCCACATACACGGGCCATTTGGAGAACTCTTTTGAACTCTGGAAATTGACAGCAGGAAAATGCAGGTTAAAAACGGCAGTTTTGCCGCGTTTATGAGCGTTTGTGTTCAGAATCGTTTTTTAAAGATAAGCACAGGAGAACCTCCCAAATGCCCAGAATGCACTGGAAAATAGTAAATTATTAACTATTTCAGACTGTTTGGGAGAAATAGAGAGAGTAGAAGCAGAGAGAGCAGTATGTGTTGAGGTTAGCTGTCTTTTTTTTTGTGGTGTTCCAGCTCATTTCTGTGCAGAAATTATTGCAGCAGTGTCTAACATATTTTCTTTCATGCGAAACCTCAAAGTATGGTGTACCAGGTCCATTTGAGTACCAGGAAAATGCTTTGCATGCATTTTTCAGGATGAAAAAAGGCTCTGGACAGCATCTGGAAATGTAAGAGTTAAAAAAAATTTCCAAACGTAAATGCATATAAACGCGGTTAGCCATGTTTACAAGCATTTAAAAAACGCTGATAAAATCTACTCCTGAATACAAGTTTGGTGCGTTAAAAAAAAATGACTGTAAACTCAACTGCCTGTAAACGACATAGTGTACATGGACACATGGGAAATCATTAGGGAGAGTTCAGGGTCTGCTGAAAAAAACGCAGAAAAGCTCCTAAACGTAAGTTTATCAGTTGCAGTGTACATGGAGCCTCATAGGTTTAATGGTTCTTTCACAATGGTGACAATACTCACTGCCCTCTGAAAGGCAATCCATGGTGGACTGCCTTTCAGAGGGCAGTATAGCAGCTGCTGGCAGGGGTCAGGATGCACTGTTGCCTCCTGATGCCTGTTTTTTGTTTTTGAATAGCAATTTTACATTGTGGGACTGCACCCCAACTGCAAGCTAAGCATATGGCTTGTGGTTACAGAAAGGTTCTGTTGATCTCAGTGGGCAAGGTTGGAAAGCAATGCCATCTTTCAAACTCTGCAGCCCGAGTTTAAAATTGCCAAATGCTATGCTGCGGTCGCGCCCAGAGTGTAAGTTTATCATTCTGGTGGGAAGCAAGGGAGCAGTAAAACTGTGTCTCAGCCACCAGTGTGAAGCAGCCCTAAAGGTTGACATCAGATGTCAGTAGGTATTGGCTTGACTGCCAAACATACAGTATTTTATTTATCCCATAACACCAATTGTGCTGAAAGATAATTTTTCTAAATACTTGCCATTTACCAACCGGGGGGCTGACATACCACACTAATATAAATGAACATTGAGGTATAGAACATACATTTTCGATCTGGCAAAGTGACAGCTGCCTATTGACACTGACTCAAGATTAGCTATCATGCATTAGACTGAGTCTGATCTCTTACTATCCTTTTAAGAGATTTTCTAAAGTGTTGGAGATCTGTGAAGTCAAATAATGGAAGCTCTCTTTTTCTTTCATAATATGTTTCCTCCAGTCAGAGTCACATGAGCTATGAATGCAAGATTTGATGACTGCATGCTTTTCCATCATTGGATGCTCCAGCTGTGACATCTGCCTGGCTATAAGCACTTTCTAACACTCCACTGGCCTCATTGAGCATGCCTGACACATATTTAGCTAGATTTACTAAAGGCAAATAGGATGTTCACTTTGCAACAAAACTTGTGCTTTGTATGGGAACAGGCCCCAGATCTTAGTGAATGTTTGCAATGAATACCCAATCACGTACAAGTCAAATTAAAATGCAGAACATTTGCTTTCCTATGACTGGATGATGGAAGTCAGCAGAGCTTCACCATAGTTCACTAAGATCTGGGACAAATTCTCTTACAAAGTGCAGCTTCCTTTGCAAAGTGAACATCCTATTTACCATTAGTAAATCTACTCCATAGTGTTTTGCAGTGTGGGGTCCAGCCTGTGATATGACTTTTCCCCAAATACAGTCTATTTGCATTGGTCCGATACACCTCATACCAAGTCAGAGCTCCCAATTAGTGGGGAACATGACCTTTGCTGATTGCAGAGCTATACCAACACACCCCCTGACTCAATAAGGGGTGTGTTCGACCTCTGCAATGAAATCCCACATAGAACAAGGTTCCCACTCTGCAGCTGCTTGCAGAGGACAGGTTTTTCAACTCTATGGTTGATTTAGAAAGAATTTGAACTGTAAGACATTGAACACCTTTTGTTTTGATGCACCTGGAATGTAATTCACTGATGTAAATTAAGAGTTCAGCTTGACTGTTCTAATAATAATAAAAAGAAATTTTACTAGGACCAAATGTGCTTGGTCACTTCAGATGTTTTTCATCTTCCTCCATTTACTTTCACTCTTTGTACTGCATGACACCCTTTATTTCTAAATGTGCAAAACACACTTACATCAAGATGAAGCAGTCTTCAAATTTGTAACCACAAACAGTGACTTTCCACTCTCCATTTCTTTCCCTCCAGCTCCAGCAGAGGAGGATAAGACTGGGGTGGTGCCTTCGAGAGCTAGAACTGGAACTCTTTTGGGGGATCGGGCTTGTACTCCTTGCCCACGTAGTTTAGGGTTCTTGTGGGTTTTCTGGTCATCAGAAACATGTTTTTCCCCAAATACAGTCTATTTGCATCAGTCCGATATGCCTCATACCAAGTCAGAGCTCCCAATTAGTGGGGAACATGACCTTTGCTTATTGCAGAGCTATACCACACACACCCCCTTACTCAGTATGGGTGTGTTGGACCTCTGCAATGAAATCTCACATAGAACAAGGTTCCCACTCCACAGCTGCTTGCAGAGGACAGGTTTTTTCAACTCTATGGTTGATCTAGAAAGAAATCGAATTGTAAGACATTGAACACCTTTTGTTTTGATGCACCTGGAATGTAATTCACTGATGTAAATTAAGAGTTCAGCTTGACTGTTCTAATAATAATAATAATTTTACTAGGACTAAATGTGCTTGGTCACTTCAGATGTTTTTCATCTTCCTCCATTTACTTTCACTCTTTGTACTGCATGACACCCTTTATTTCTAAATGTGCAATAACACACTTACATCAAGATGAAGCAGTCTTCAAGTTTGTAACCACAAATAGTGACTTTTCACTCTCCATTTCTTTCCCTCCAGCTCTAGCAGAGGAGGATAAGACTGGGGTGGTGCCTTCGAGAGCTAGAACTGGAACTCTTTTGGGGGATCGGGCTTGTACTCCTTGCCCACGTAGTTTAGGGTTCTTGTGGGTTTTCTGGTCATCAGAAACATGTTTTCCCCAAATACAGTCTATTTGCATCAGTCCGATATGCCTCATACCAAGTCAGAGCTCCCAATTAGTGGGGAACATGACCTTTGCTTATTGCAGAGCTATACCAACACACACCCTGACTCAGTATGGGTGTGTTGGACCTCTGCAATGAAATCTCACATAGAACAAGGTTCCCACTCCACAGCTGCTTGCAGAGGACAGGTTTTTCAACTCTATGGTTGATCTAGAAAGAAATCGAATTGTAAGACATTGAACACCTTTTGTTTTGATGCACCTGGAATGTAATTCACTGATGTAAATTAAGAGTTCAGCTTGACTGTTCTAATAATAATAATAATTTTACTAGGACTAAATGTGCTTGGTCACTTCAGATGTTTTTCATCTTCGTCCATTTACTTTCACTCTTTGTACTGCATGACACCCTTTATTTCTAAATGTGCAAAACACGCTTACATCAAGATGAAGCAGTCTTCAAGTTTGTAACCACAAATAGTGACTTTCACTCTCCATTTCTTTCCCTCCAGCTCTAGCAGAGGAGGACAAGACTGGGGTGGTGCCTTCGAGAGCTAGAACTGGAACTCTTTTGGGGGATGGGGCTTGTACTCCTTGCCCACGTAGTTTAGGGTTCTTGTGGGTTTTCTGGTCATCAGAAACATGTTTTCCCCAAATACAGTCTATTTGCATCAGTCCGATATGCCTCATACCAAGTCAGAGCTCCCAATTAGTGGGGAACATGACCTTTGCTTATTGCAGAGCTATACCAACACACACCCCCTGACTCAGTATGGGTGTGTTGGACCTCTGCAATGAAATCTCACATAGAACAAGGTTCCCACTCCACAGCTGCTTGCAGAGGACAGGTTTTTCAACTCTATGGTTGATCTAGAAAGAAATCGAATTGTAAGACATTGAACACCCTTTTGTTTTGATGCACCTGGAATGTAATTCACTGATGTAAATTAAGAGTTCAGTTTGACTGTTCTAATAATAATAATAATTTTACTAGGACTAAATGTGCTTGGTCACTTCGAATGTTTTTCATCTTCGTCCATTTACTTTCACTCTTTGTACTGCATGACACCCTTTATTTCTAAATGTGCAATACACGCTTACATCAAGATGAAGCAGTCTTCAAGTTTGTAACCACAAATAGTGACTTACCACTCTCCATTTCTTTCCCTCTAGCTCTAGCAGAGGAGGATAAGACTGTGGTGGTGCCTTCGGAGAGCTAGAGCTGGAGCTCTTTGTGGGGGATCGGGCTGCTACTCCTTGCCCACGTAGTCTAGGGTTCTTGTGGGTTTTCTGGTCATCAGAAACATGTTTAAGACCTGAAAAATGTTACCAATATACAGAGTGCATAACCGATATGTATTGCATATGCTTTTACATGCATGTTTTGTTTTATTAGTTAGGTTACATAGATAAAAATGAATCTAGCAGAGTGATTGGATCTGCAACCCCTAGAGCAGCCTTTCTCAACCAGGGTGCTCAGGCACCCTGGGGGTGCCTTGAGGTTTCTTCAGGGGTGCCTTGGCAAAATGTCCAAAAATTGCCCAAAGTCAGCGGGTGGTGCAAGCCTGCCTTTTAGTTACACAAAGCCATAGGTTTTCATTGTGCACCATTACGGCCTTCCAGCTGCCGGTGTCCTGACAACCAATTACATCATCAGTTGATAAGGAGGATGTCAGCTGCCTGCACAGCATCCTAGTTTGATCCTCTCCTGCCTCTCTCCACCAGTGCTGGGGTCACATTAGCTCAGTGATTTAGAAAAACTGAGGGAGAAGAGAAACACTGGATTACTACTCAGTACCAGTGTGCAGAAATGTATTCGCTTTGGAAGAATAAATCACCTCTAATGTTGGATGTCCCACATGTGTGGATGTTGCTGCGTTACATAAAACTATTAGCATAGTTTTTTTACATTTAAGGAAGGGGTGCTCTTTTAAAATTCTGGACAGTCTAGAAGCACCCCAATTTAGAATTGGGGTTCCTCAAGACTGTCCATAATTTTAAAGGGTTCCTCAAGACTGTCCATAATTTTAAATGGTGCCTTGACTGAAAAAAGCTTGGGAAACACTGCCCTAGAGCAGGGGTGGGCAACTGTGGCCCTCCAGCTGTTGTAGAACTACAAGTCCCATGAGGTATTGCAAAACTGACAGTTACAAGCATGACTCCCAAAGGCAGAGGCATGATGGGACTTGTAGTTCACCAACAGCTGGAGGGCCACAGTTGCGCACCCGTGCCCTAGAGGGATCAAGGAAAATAAGTATTTGCAAATGTATTATTTAAAGTTATTAATATAAAGTTTACATGAAGGACTTCTTTTCTGAATGATATTATTACTTGCATTTTGTCCCAAAATATCATGGTCACACGTAATGTAAAGACAGCTACATTATTCATATAGTGACTCTTTGTATGCCAAACAGTGAACACAGCATCCTTTTTAAACAGCTGCTGTAAGAAAAGTAATTTTAAGATAAATCACACAATTAATTGATTACCTGAAGAGTAGGGGGATTGGAGAAGGTGAGGTGTAGAGCCACAGACCCCAGGGGCCTCTGAGATTTAATTTCATGTGTCATAAATGTACATTCATTTTATGCCTGTGTTTTGTTTATTTTAGAAAGAAATTTGGATTATTTAACCACTTCCGGCCTGCAGTCATGACCCTGGTATCTTTTTTTTCCCAGTCAGCGATGTAAAAGCGAGCAGCTGAACAGCGACTGGATCATTTTTACATGGGGCAGAAGGGTGCCCCCTCCCCTTTGTCCCGCTGCCTTCCAGGGTTCTCCCATTCTACTGGGGAACCCGGAATTGAAGCTGGTGATTGTGCCAACTTACCATATAGATGACCAAAAACTGGAAGCTCCCCAATCATCTCTATGGTTTAACAAACTAGAAGTGATGAGCATTTGAATGCTTCTGGTTCCACTCAGATGTAAACAAGCCATTACCAGCTTGTGAAAGCATCTGATCAAACTGATCTCGGTTTGATCTGATGCTTTTAAGGGCACAGGAGAGATCTGGAGTCTAATAAACCCCAGATGTCACAGAAAATTATACCTGTCACTGCCCATGCTATCACGAGGGATATTGTTCATCCATTGTGACTGCAATAAAAAGTGATAAAATAAAATTTAAAGAGACAATGTAAAAAAAAAAAGTAAAATTTAAAAAAATTCCACACACATATGTAAATGGTGTTAGCACCACACATATGAGGTATCACCACAAAGTTATAGCAAGAGCAATATTTCTAGCACTCGACCTCCTGTGTAACTCTAAAACTGGTAATCTGTAAGGGCTTTAAAAGTGTCACCTATGGAGATTTTTAAGTACCATAGTTGGTGCTGTTCCACGGGTGTATGCAAATAAATTCTTTAAAAATCATACAATGTGATTTCCTGAATTTTTTTTTTTAATTCTGTCTCTCAGAGTGGGAATGCACCTACAATGCGAATTTCAGACCCCTCCATGATTTCTAAGTGGGAGAACTTGCAAAATCACGGGGTGTTCAAATACTTCTGTTCCTCACTGTAAGTACAAAAAAGATCTGTATCCAAAGAAATTGATATTCCTATGGACGCCTCATTTTCCTTTTTAGTTTATTTAGCACAAAACAGCTGTTATTTATGTTATAAGATTCCAATAATTGCCTGCCACCAACACACATGCTTTTATCTCTTTGTTTACCTTTTGTAATGGCTTCTCCTTGGTTGAGTTGGGCAAAGAGTGCGGATCGATCCTGAGACATATCATCTTTGGATTTATTAAATATATCTAGACTCGGAGGAGGTCCTGGAGGTGGCGGAGGAGGTGGTGGTGGTGGGTAACATGATCCTGATGTTGCATTATTGTGCTGAGGTTCTCCTTTTGAGGATAGCTGTAAAAATATGTAACGAAATGTATGGATTATGCATGTAAGTTACTACAAACATGTTAAATGCAACACCTTATTGTACAGTATATATCCCTTTTTGCAACCAGTCATGGTGTTCTCATCTAGTATATCTAGTATCTACAATCTAGTATAGGGTTGCTTGGGGATGGGGAATTGACAGGGAACAGCAAGGAAGAAAGTGTGCTCTTTTCAGGTACAGAGAGGAATTGATATAGAGATACAGCACAGTGTATAAACATACAGTGCATACAGGAGGGTAGAGAATGATGGCACAGGCTAGAGTAGTGGTGGGAAATGTAGTAAATATAGAGGCTCTCTCAACTGCAGCCCTCAAAATCCAAGGAGGCTCACATAATAGTTCAGATTGGCTACATGACAAGGTGGGAGTTTTAATTTAGGACAGCTTTTGTTCCCCTATGCAGGAACCAGAAAGCAGTGTAAACTGTCAATACAACAAACACTAAGATAATATCAAAATGTATCTAATTTATTAACAAATGTATATATTGTAGCTTCTTTTTTTAGGCTTTTTTATTCATGCAGGGAACCATAGTTGTCTGAATACTGAATTTCCAAAAGTCTTCTGCTCTTCATCTCCATTCTATGGAGATTTACAGAAGAAAGATAACATTATTAAGTTCAACTCACAGGAAGTGAAGAGGACAGCAAGCATTTTCTGTACTTGCAGAACATTTTCTTGACTGCAGGCACCACATCTACGGCCTGGCAAACTGCAGTACATTACATTTTAAGTCTTGGGTTTACATATGCCTCAATTGGGGTTTTGCACATACAGTAGGGTTTTTAAAATAATACAATATATCATTTGAGGCCTGGGCATTAAAGTGGACCTGAATTTAAAAAGTAAAAAAAATTGCTATGTTATAGGGAACATCTAAAAAAGTTAATTGCCTCCAAGCAGTACAATAGAAAATTAAATTTTTCCTGCAACCCCTCCTAAAAAATAGCAGCTCACTTCTCCAGATCTCAATCCAATAGAGCATCTGTGCGATGTGTTGGAAAAACAAGTCTGATCTAAGGAGACTCCACCTCACAACTCATAGAACTTAAAGGATCTGCTACTACTAATGGCTTGGTGGCAGATACCACAGCATATCTTCAGCAGTCTAGTGGCATCCAATTACAGGTACTTATATAGTACACATATATACACAGTGCTTTACATATATGTTGTACATTCACATCAATCCTAACGCTCAAGGAGTGTAAATTGTGCATACTCCAGGCAGGTAGTGCAATGGTTGGGATTTGAATCAACAACCCTAGTGCTGTCAGACGGACGTACTAACCACTTAGCTACTCAATGATAGGTGGGTGGTCATAAAGTTATGTCTGATTAGTGTGTATTACATGTGTTAATGATATGTTTTACAGGGAGGTTTCACTTTCAGAATAAATGAAGAACAAATGACACAAATACTATAAAGCCCGGCATATGTGGCTAGGTAACAAATGCTTTGCTAATCTCTGCATGGACACATGGCGTGGGGTAGAGAACACTAAATATCCGATGTCATCTCTGGAGAACAGGTGGATTGTCACACAGACACTGATCTTTTGTGAAGGTGCTCCTTCTGTAAATGTAGATGTTTGTTCTATTCAGGGCACTCTTATAGCCACCTGTCCATGATGTGCTTTCATGTATAGAATTTACAAGACGAAGCAGCTGATGTTCAGGCACTTTGGATGTCACTGAAAGGGGAGAGCTCTTTCTTATGTATCTCAGCAAACACATCTGTTTATATAGGTCTCATGCTCTGTGGCTTTGTTTAAATGCATATTAACAGGATACCTGCTCACTTCAACATGTGTATCTGCCAGAGCCAGCCCCGTGATCTCATAATTCCACAGCAGAAGTAGTGAGTGTGACTTGAGACTATGCATGGTGCCAACATCCCAGTACACAATACAAATAGAAAGAGAAACAGGGGACTTTAAGGGCACAGCATATTACAAACAAACAAATAAAATTAGCACAGCTTTATTGTTATCAGATTAAAGCGGTTGTCCTGTCTCCTCTGAAAAAAATAAAAGTCTGCAGCTACAAAAATTGTAGTTTATGACTTTTGAAAAACAGCCACTCACCTGTCCCATGATCCAGCAGTGTGTTCACCCAGGCTGGGTTCACCGGCTGTCCTCTGTCCCTGGTGCCAGCATATTGACTGTGGCCATCCAGCTGTGATTGTGGCTTCACAGCCGGGTGCCCATTGCACATGTGCAACATTGTAAATGGTCCCACAGTCTTCTGGGACCTTTCACGTGTCCCAGAATGCTGTAGGGAGGCAGGCAGAAGGGGAACTTTTGCTTTCGATCGACGAGGCGGTAGGCGCGGAAGTGGGAGTGGGTACTTGTCAAAATTGGGTACCCACTCCCCAAAGGTGCCAATTCTTCACCGTGAGCAGGGGAACAGACCCTAAAGCAGAACTTCTACTACTTTGTGGAGCTCTGCTTTAAAATCATACAATTAAAGAAATGCGCAGGCTGAATGATGAATCAACACCCTATATTACTGTAATTAAAGCTAATGTGTTTATATACAAACAATTGGATGTCAAACATTTATAGTGTGCCCAAATACCGACACGTTTTCAGTCTTGCTCTTCCTCAGGAACCCTGATGATAATAAGGTTGTGTTAACCACTTTACCACCGCCCTATAGCAGAAATACTGCTACAGGGTGGCAAGGGCGCGCAAAATCATATATGTGATTTTGTATTTCTGGGTAGGGGGCGCGCTCGAGCCGTGCCACCATTCGTGACCTCGGCTGTCAATCGCCAGGTCCCAGTTGGTGATTACTCGCTGGTACACGGCGATCGCCGAGTAATACCGACAGGGGGAGAGAACTGTATGTAAACAATACAGTTCTCTCCCCCGTGAGCTCCTGCACACTGCATGATATGGCTTTGCATAGTAGAGACATACAAAGCAGTATGCTTACAGTGGAAAGCACAGAAACAGCCCCATAGTAAAACACACACAGCACACAATTAATTATTTGATCGCCCCTTCCTGCCCAGTGCAATTAGTACAGTGTCAGTGCTTTTTATTAGCACTGATCACTGTATTGGTGTCACTGGGGATGTCAGTGACACCAAGTCAGTTCCCCCCCAGTGTTAGAATGCCCATCGCAGTCCTGCAGTCCTGCTGTAAGTCGCTAATTGCCACCATTACTAGTAAAACATTTTTTTTTTAATTTCCAGCATATATGCTGCCAATTGTAAATGCTATAATGTTCACGTAAACCAATTAATTTACACGTATTGGGATTTTTTTTAGAAAAGACATTTAGCAGAATACATTTTGCTCTAAATTTATGACGAAATTTGATGTTTTTAAATTTTGTTATTGGACATGTTTAATAGCAAAAAAAATCAAAATATTTTTCTCAAAATTGTCGGTCTTATTTTGTTTATAGCGCAAAAAATAAAAACTGCACAGGCAATCAAATACCACCGAAAGCTCTATTTGTAAGAAAAAAGGACGGAAATTTAATTTGGGTACTTCGTTGCATGACCGTGCAACTGTCAGTCAAAGTAACGCAGTGCCGTAATGGAAAAAAATGGCCTGGTCAGGAAGGGGGGTAAATCCTCTGGAGGGCAAGTGGTTAATTTTATCTATTTGGTTGTTTTTAATATGAGGTGTTGTTAAAGTCCCTTACACCAGCTGTTTTTCTTTCTATTTATAAATTCCACAGCAATGTATGATTATGCATGACTATGGACTATTACCTTATATCCTTGTTATTTGTTTCTCACAGTTAAATACAGAACTAGCCTAATATTAGCTGCCATTTTTTTTCATCAATATTGATTTACTGAAAATGTTCAATAACTCATTCCCTTATAGGTACTCTAGTTATAAGCGAATATTTAACTAATCTATTCATAGATATTGTATAGTATATAATAAAATTGTATATCTATAGTATTTTCAGCCAATTTTGAGCAATTGCTGATTTACAACGAGCTGCTGGTACCTACTCTTAAAGAGGAGTTCCACTCAAAAGTGGAAGCTCCGCTTATTTACCTCCTCCCCCCTCCACTGCCATGTTTGGCACCTTTTGGGGGGGAACGGGTACTCGTTTTTGACAGGTACCCGCTCCCACTTCCGGCTCAGTACGCCGCGGCAAAGTGAGCCAGAGGTTTGGCCCCCTCCTCCCTCCCGCAGTCTCATGGGAACTTCCACAGGTCCCCGGAGACTGCCGGTCCAATTAGAAGGCACAGCACGATTCGCGCATGTGCAGTGGGCACCAGGCTGTGAAGCCGCAAGCTGTCACAGCCTGGTGCCCACAGCTGAGATGCCGGCACCGTGGAGAAGGGGAGAAGGGACGGCACGGATGAGAACATTGCTGGACCCCGGGACAGGTAAGTGTGTGTGTTTATTAAAAGTCAGCAGCTCCAGTTTTTGTAGCTGTTGACTTTTAATAAACACAAAAACGGCTGGAACTCCGCTTTAATACTGAGATATCAATACTTAAAATTCTTAACACATTCAAGCCTGAGACCATCCAAATTCTTATGAGCGATTTTAAGTTCTGATGAAGGGGGCTCTTAAAAATGGCCAAAAATGTGCTGGATTGTCATACTGCTGTTTTATGATGAAATAAATCCTCATTGGTCCCTCATCATTTGGTCTGATGTTCCTGTTTTTTTTCTGCACCTCATTTACATTGTTTGTCTGTACTGAATTAGACAAGACTGAATTAGCATACGTAGTTGCTAACATATTCCCATTTTTAGGGACACTTTTTTTTCTGTACGTCCAGAAAGGTGGTAAGGGCAGAGTAACATTTTTATTATGGGCGGGGCATTCAATTGTGGGCGTGGGTCAACATTGATCGAGAAAATGTGTCGCACTTTGCGCAGCATGGCCAAAAATGAGCGTGGTTTCAAGTACACTAAATATTGGGCATGGCTTAAAGGGGTGTGGCTAAATAGAGTCTGAGATGACTTACATAGTGG